ATGTTTTACAACATATATAGTCTCACCAAAGTGAAATTCTACTAAAATATTGGTTTGTAAAAAGCTTTTATATGTGGCACCACCAATTGTTTTATATCTTTATCGTCCAATTGATATTTGATGGGTGTCTCCACGTGCAGAGAATCTTATGCCATGACCCAATTTGCATGGACTTGATTCAAATGGGATTGGAGTAGGCCTTAAGTTGGATCCTTTCTCATAATATACCTTAGTGGTATGTGAATTGGAGGGAAATGGCCGGACATTTTTGTCATTTGCACAAAATGTCTCTCTCAAAGAATTGAATCTATATTATTATACATTTTTTTACAATTAACTTTGTATAAAATAATGACCTCTAAATATTTGTATGTATATATACATTTATTTGGTTTTTGGTATAATATCCAATTAGATTCACTAATTATGAAGAGCGGAGAAAATTTGATTTTATATTTAATATAAGCCCTAACAAACAAGTCTCACAATACCTAACGAGTTGATTCACAAACACTTGTTCGAGAATATGTTCAGAAGTTTAACAAGTCAAGTAATGACGGTGGAAGTTTATGGGACCAAGAAGGGAGTGAATATGTCTATTTGCTCTCTTGATTGATTTTAATTTTTGATTATTGCCAAGTTGATAATTTAGTCCAATTAATCAATTAGTAGTGATAAAGTACGAAATACTGATTTTTTTTTACGTGAAAAACCTCGGTGTGGAAAATTATGGAGACTACCATTTTAGGTGAACCAATTGATTAAAAAATAGAGCCCAATGAATTCCAGTGCCTTCGAAATTGCCCTCCACAAGTCGTCAATTGCAGTGCATTCGAAATTACTTGTCATTGGTTACCTCTGACTCAGTGCCTCCAGAACCACTGAAAACACGAATCCATGACAATGCAATTACTTCACCTTAATTCGCTTCTCCTAATATCTAAATGTCTATGTTTTTTGAGTGAAGAATTGCTTGATTGACGATTGATATGTTGAAATTAGTGAAACTTCATGCTCTCATATCAATCCCAAAATTGTATAAATAGTCTCTAATCAAATAGTAACTATGTGATGAAGAAAGACTAAAATATCAATGAAGAAAACTAGGTTTTCCCCAAATCTCTCTTCTCTACACTTATGTTTGTCTCTCTCTAACTTAAGTAAAACCTAAACTCCTTTCTATAGGCTTTAGAACCCCTTATTTAAGTCCTAGAACCGAGGCATGAGGCTTAGTAATATCTTCTCTCATTTCAAAGTAAAAAGTAAATGGTTCAAGTATTGCAAGGGCATTATAGATATGAGTTGAGGGTTCAAGGAAAATTTTCAAGGATTGCAAAGAGAATTTTTTGATTTATTTGAGTAATCAAATGAATTCAAAATTGGATGTATAGAAATATCATTAGAAACCTTACCAAGTCTTCCTTTCAAAAAAAAAAAAAAAAAAAAAAAAGAAGAAGACAAATATGTCAGAATTTAAGGTTATGTTTAGTAGGTATGGAATTGGAGTTTTGAAATTAAAGAAAAACAACTCAAAATTGAATGAAATATTTTTTCAAATTTCACCAATTCTGAGGTTTCAATTCTATGCCACCAAACACAGCTTGACTGCATGCATCACCATACATGGATAATGTTCCAAAGATTTCAAAACATCTTTTTACTGTTGAAAACATCCATAATCACTTTTCAAAATGTTCAAATCATCCTAGCTAGGTCAATATATGAAATTTATTATCGAAGTGTTTACCGACCTACTTCATCTTTCTCAAAAAAAAGATATCCTGTTTGGAGAATCGTAACTTACAAACATAATTGTGGAGCATATATATATATATATATATATATATATATATTGCAGTAAGGAACTTTGAAACATAATTTGCCAATATACAAATATTATTCAATAAGATTATATTAGCTACTGTTATGGTTAGTTACTTCCCCAAATTTTGAAATGAAAATGTATTAACCAATATTAAATAATTAAACAAAGACTTTTTATCAAATTGAATACATTAGGAAATGGATGACTCAGTGGAGAGCAACACTGAAGTGCCAGTTGACATCAGACAATCAATTTCACCAGAAGATAATATCATCACATAATCATTCAAATTCAAACATAAATATACTTCGTATATTATATCTATCATTGGGTAATCACAGGGGCCTTATTCTTGCAATAGGAACTACGCAGACTGAGACGTTTACTTCCAATAATAGAAATAACTTGTTACACTGTATTATGAACTGGATGTACCTTTTTCTCCCTCCTCTGATTATTTATTTAATTTGTATACAGCCAAATTAGAGGGAGGGGATTCGACTATGGGTACACATCTGAACCTTTATGAGGATTTAGCCGTTCAATTAACTTATGGATGGCAACGGGATGGTTTTAGGCAGGTGTACCATTCCCTGTCCGTCAAAAATTGCTTAAACGGGGTACCTTCTCACCCTAACTCCGTCTCATTTAACTTTTCCACCTCGCGGACACACACCCTGCCCCGATTACTCCCAAAAAAATTTCTTGTTTTTTTAATTTTTTCCTCAAATATAAATATATTACTATTAAAAAAAATTATAAAAAAGAAAATCAATAATTTAACATAAAATTCAACATTACAAATATTCCATAATGGCAAAAGTACCAAAAAAACTCGAAATGGCCGAGGAAGTAGGTGAATGTGAATGTGAATGTGAATCTGAATCTGAATGTGAATGTGACTCAGATTTCTAGTGCTAACTATGAGCTCGTTTGGAATTGATTGTCTATTATTTAAAAGCGCTTTTATTTTAAAAAATTGAGTTTAAATGTGTTTGGTAATCATTATAAGCGCTTTATATAGTTACCGCGTTCTAATTAGAGGTTAAATATTTTGGTAATTCTTTTTCATCAGACGAATTTATCTATTTTATTTTTTATAATGACAATTACACCCATTCCTTAATAAAATTGCTGTTATCAAATATGGTAACATTGTATTAAAAGATATTATTGTAAAATTAATAATAAAAGTGTTTAAAAAAATTGTTACCAAATAAATAAAAAAATAATTTAATTGTTAAAAATACTTATTATAATATGTCACCAAACATCTATTGGTAACATGTTTTATAGTGATCGCAATTTTTTGACATGTTTTTTGACCGCAATTTTTTTATAGCTCTATTGATTAAAACGTTTTTTTCATTTTAACAGCAACTTCAAGCGGGATAAAAATAAGGCCAATTTAATAATCTATAAACCTAAAGGGGGTAGATGGCCTCCTCCCGCCACTGCTTCTTATTCTGTGCGTGTTTTTCCTTCCAAACTCCATCCCCGACTAAATAACTTAAACAATTTCTCAAAACCAGTGTAAATGGGACATGATGGGGCAAAACCCGCCAAACAAATTGCAATCTCTAAATCAATTTGGCCACTAAATAATTCTCTTTGACTTTTCAATTCATTACATCTAAAATAATTACTACAAAATTTAGAACTCTTCTCTTTGAGTTCGGGTTTAATTCATGAAACCAAGAGTCAGAAGTCAGAAATTTTTATGATTAACAGTCAGAAATTTTCATTACAAACCAACCTAAAGTATTAGGATCCACTTTCATTTGAGTGAAAAATGATTTCTTTGTAATATTAATTTCAATATATTTTTTTGAAAGGTATATTAATTTCAATATTACCAAAAGAAGTAAATGTTATCTTTGGACAAAAATAACAATGAAATATCATAATGGATCATTTTTAAGAATCCAACTGGGAAAGATCCCAACTCATAAGTGCCAATCTTTTAAGGTCCATTTACTAATTAACTAAAAGGGAGAGGATCATTAATGAAACTATGAAGAAATAAAAATGACACGTATGGTGGTGATAAAATTAGAGCAACTATACTTTTACGGGATATTGAGTTAAAATTATCCGCTATATAAAGTTATTAAAAATAATTTTAATAAATTAAATATTTTAAGAGATATGACTTAAAAATAATAATAATAAAAATAATAAAAATTGGAAGAAGAAAATTTATGTGGCCGACATATGTTCTAAGTCCAAATGCCAATTTTATACTCCCAAACACCATTATTATTGTTTTTATCTCCAACATAATTAGAAATGTAGCATAATCATAATTTATATGATTCTAGATCTGGATTCATATTTAAATGTCAAGATCCATAATCGGATCCTAATTCAAATCGGATCCTATTGACATAATCTAGCCAATATAATTTAAAATAAAATAAAATAAATTCACCTTATTTAATAATTACTTATATTCATTTCGAATTAGAATGTTTTTGACAAAGATTCATATTCATCCTATTTTAAAATTATTATTCAAAATTAAAATAAAATGTATTAAAATGGACTTCAAATCAAATCTTACGTCAAATATATTCTTTTACGAGTGATGTAATTAGAATTTCGAGTCTTATATAATTCAAATTCAATAAACTTTCTTTTTTTGTTAATTTGAAAATGAATCAACTGATACTATATATAAAGATATTTAGAGATAGAGAGAGAGGGGAATAGGGTCTTGCCTTGACATAAACAGATAACTCTTATTAGAAAATTCTTGAATTTATCACTACTGTTTAATCACCGAAAAGTCTACGGAATTAAAGTTCCCATACATTATAGGAAAGGAAGGTCACAGGACAAGGACATTCCTGTCCTTTTACCTCTTAGGGTTTCCCAAATCCTCTTTAATTAGGGGGCACTACCACCTTAGTCTGGAAACAGCAAAACAACAACCATCACAAGTTGGGTACCTAAAATATCTCACCGACCAATAGATTCTCACAAGTCTAAAAAATCTTTAGGGTAGGTAATTAACAAACCAATAATAGATCTCCACGTGTCAGATATGGCCCAATGGGTTTCACCTGTGAGATTACTAAATCACCGGCGAGTGAATTAATTAGGGACTGGATTTGCAAATATGATATAGTGGAGGGAGCTGAAGACTCCGTGGTGCTATTTGAATCACCACTTTGCGTTTGATCAAAACCCTCTCTTCGTTTCCCCCAAAAACCCAAACCCTCTCTCTTTCTCTCTCTACCTCTCCCCGTGGCGGCTGAAACTCTACTTCTCCAAGGGTTTCTCTCTCCTCCTTAAACCTCCATATCTAGGGTTTCTAGACGCTCGCTCTCGAAGATCTGGTCATGGCTGCCGTTGTTCCTTCCGCAGATCGTATCCTTACCACGTCTCCCCATATGGGCGTTCTTTTTTTTTTTTCCTTCCGTTTTCTCTGTGTCTCATACTGATCTGTTGTTTCTGGATCGAGCTGGGTTTGCTTTATGTTTGTTTGTGTATACATGTGTTATGTAGCAATTCGTTGATTTCTTTGTTGGCTTTTTTTAGGGTTTTGTTGACTATTAGTTATATAGATCTGGTTTTGCATATGAATTCTAGGTTTTTATTTACTTTTTTGAGTTCTATTTTATTGTTTAGGAATTAGATTAGATGTTTGAAATTATTGTATGTTTGCGATATGTGTTGTTCTGTTCAAAAGTTATCGTTGTTTTTTGGTCTGTCTTGTGTTTTTTTTGGTTACATCTGAGATGGGCTTCTCTGGGTTTAAAGGTAATCTGTGTTAAGAGCGGAATTTAATACAGTTTTTTTTTTGGGTCGTTTTTCGGTGTCTCAATTGCGTCTTCTAAGATCCGGTTTATAGAATTCAGAATTGATCTGTGTTTTGTTATAGTTTAAATGTTGAGTGTTTGTTTGTTTTTTGTTTTTTGTTTTTGGTTCCATGATAGATTGAACACTTGGTTGTCGAAGTTCATTAATATTGGGTTTAGTTTTTCGGAAATTATGTACTTCCTTTACTTTTATTTCAATAGAAGCTGGAGATTTGATGCAGAAATTGTCTTTGGATTCCCAGACGAAGTCTCTGGATCTCCCTGAGCCCACTAAGAAGGTGATTAGAATCTCTAGCAGTCCCAGGAGATTGTCTCTTTACTATCAAATTTTGTATAATTTGATAATAAATAACAACCCAGTGCTTGATTGTATGATTGTTATCTTCTGGGCAGGCTTCTGTTGATTCCGGGAATGTTACTAATGGTCAGATCCAGTCATATGAGAGGTCTACTACCCCAATATTACAGGATTTCATGGATCCCGCAATGTGTTACGTGCCCAACGCATATCCATCAACTGCCTATTATTATGGGGGTTAGTCAATATCCAAAACTTTTCAAAGGGTTTGTTTATCAATTTATTAAGAATTTTGATTTGTTGGAAAATTTGTTTCAAGGGATAATGATTTTTTTGTTGCTTTCGTATTTTTCACTGGTGTTTGCGTGTTTAAGTCTCTCATTTTGTTGAGTGTTCTTTGATAGGTTATGATGGGACTGCAAATGAGTGGGATGACTACTCAAGATATTTGAATCCGGAAGGAGTTGAGATGCCTCACGTGAGTATTGTTTTGTTTTTGTTTTGGTTATAGTTTGTTTTGGTGTACTATGAAATTCAATTGCTTGTAATATTTTATTATATTTGTTAGTTGATTTGTCATACTTGAATTTTTATGTTTTAATATGTTGTGTGAACTTGTTTATATTCAGGGGGTTTATGGGGACAACGGTTCGCTTGTGTATCACCATGGTTATGCGTATCCACCTTATAGTCCATATCAACCTGCCGGTTCCCCAGTACCAACCATGGGACATGATGGTCAGCTATATGGGGCTCAGCATTACCAGTACCCTACTCCATACTTCCAGCCCTTGACCCCTACTAGCGGGCCATACAACCCTAATCCAGCTGCCCCTCCCAAAGGTGAGATCTCCACATCCGCAGCTGCTGACCAAACCCCTTTGCCTGTTGATAACGCTAATGGAATTGCTAATGGTGGGGGTGTAAAGGGAAACAATGGTTCAGCACCTTTAAGGCCAACATATCAGAGCCCATCTTACAATTCAAATGGTACCTACGGAAGGGGTGGCCAGCTTGGAGGAATCCCTGCTACTGGTTATCAGGATTCAAGATTTAATTTTGATGGTTTGCGGTCTCCTATTCCGTGGTTGGATGGGCCAATATTTTCTGATGGGCAGCCCAGGCCTGTGACGAGCACTTCTTTAACATCATCTATTTCAAATGCAAATAAGAACCAGAATATTCGTCCTCATTCACATCTTATGGTATGTAAGATTGATCCAATCGGTTAATTTTATTTATCAGCTGGAATTTAAGTGCTTGGTATCTTCTAGTCTTGAATTATGTTAACGATTTATTTATATATATAAAAAAAGAATTATGTTAATGATTTGAACTCTTTAGATGGATTTGTTATTATTAGACTTTGCTCATAAAGATCTTTTTCATCTTCTTTCCAGGGATTGCACCACCCAAGACCAATATCTGGCATGAGCATGGGTAATGGATATATAAATAGGATGTATCCTAACAAATTATATGGCCAGTACGGGAATGCTTTCAGGTCTGGTCTAGCCTTTGGATCTAATGGATATGATTCACGAACAAATGGACGTGGGTGGTTGGCAGTTGATAACAAGTACAAGCCCAGGGGACGAGGCAATGGTTTCTTTGCTTATGGCAATGAGAACATGGATGGGTTGAATGAGATGAACAGGGGACCAAGAGCCAAGAGCTCTAAGAACCAAAAAGGTTTTGCACCTATTGCCTTGGCAGTCAAGGGGCAGAACATCCCATTAAATGGAACCAATGATGATGAGAAGGATAAGACTATTGTGAGTCCTGACAGGGAACAATACAATAGGGCTGATTTCTCTGAAAACTATACCGAAGCTAAGTTTTTCATCATTAAGTCCTATAGTGAGGATGATGTGCACAAGAGCATAAAGTACAATGTGTGGGCTAGCACCCCAAATGGCAATAAAAAGCTTGATGCAGCGTATCAAGAAGCTCAGCAGAAGTCTTGTGGCTGCCCTGTTTTCCTTTTCTTCTCTGTAAGCATTCTGATACAGCTAGTTTTCCTATTATGACATTTTCCCAATTGTGCTTGGTTTGTAAGCCATTTATTTTGAATTGTTGTACAGGTCAATACTAGTGGGCAATTTGTTGGTGTTGCAGAGATGTTAGGGCCAGTTGATTTCCACAAGAATGTTGAATACTGGCAACAAGACAAATGGAATGGCAACTTCTCTGTTAAGTGGCACATTGTTAAAGATGTTCCCAACAGTTTGTTGAAGCATATTACCCTAGAGAACAATGATAACAAACCTGTGACTAATAGTAGGGACACTCAAGAGGTATATATCCCTGAGGCAACAATTCCCTTCGTTTAATTATTTTCTTTCTGTGCTTAAAACATAAATATTTTCTTGATATTTTGTAGGTCAAACTAGAGCAAGGGCTTCAAATGCTTAAAATATTCAAAGAGTATACCAGCAAAACATGCATCCTGGATGATTTTGGTTTTTATGAGGGTCGGCAGAAGACAATTCAGGAGAAGAAAGCTAAACAACAGCAGTTCCAGAAGCAGGCAAGATATAACTTTGCCTTGTATTATTCAATAATACTATATCGTTGGTATTGATTACTTTATTTTAGACAGCCGACATATCTTGCACAAGTCCCTGTTCCTATTCACTTGCCCCATAAACTAAGTTTGGTTTGCCTGTTGTGGTGACCCGCCAAATACAGGTTTGGGAAGGAAAGCCAACTGAGGAAAAGAGCAAGGAAGGTTCTAATGGAGAACTGAAATCCCAGAAGTTATCAGAACCCGCCTTGGATTTGACCAAGGAACCCGCCCCAGCTATTCAGACCAATGGGGATGTGAAGCCTTCAGAAAATGGGTCAGTGACCAAATTTGATGTTGTAGCAAAGGGTGCTAAGCCAGTTGTGGTCTCAGAGAAGATTATAGCTAATGGGGTTGCAAATGGGTGCTAGCTTTGCGTTGCACCAGGGTGGCCTGTGGTATTTTACGGTCGTCTCTGGGGAAGATTGGTTAGAATTTTTGCTGGGTTAGATTCAGTATTTTGGAGGCAAAAGCTGGCTAATTCTCCTACAGAGTTCTAATAGTTACAGGTGCCCTTCACCGAATTGTAGTGAGGTCTAAAGAAGCCCCTTCAACATTTTATTATACGAGGTCGTGAGGTGGGCGCAGCTTCATTGAAGAAACAATCCAAATTATGGTGCCCCGTGTTTCCTCATAATGGGTCAGTTCTATAGTGGGTAGCTGCTTCTAACATTTCTCAATAGGGTTTGGGTTTTAGGGGGTTTTTTCTTCTCTTTTTCTTCTTTTTTTTTTTTTTTGCCCTTTTGTTTTTCATATTTTATGTTGCTTCAATATCTTTCTTTTGGTGCTCTCTTTTTCTTTTTCTTTTTTTTTTTTTTCACCTTTTATTAATAGTTTGGACTCAATCCCGTCTTGTTGATGCCTTGGAGCTTTTTTGCTTTTGTACTAGAAAGAGAGATAGAAGCAAGGTGGGAAGTAATTGCAATATAATAGTTGATTTCAAGAAGCATTTCTTACTCTTTTGCCTTTTTATTTTAGGTTAGGTTGTGTGCTTGTGCTATATAATATTTAATTTTCTGTTTTGCCTTTCCTGGACTCATCCATGTGGTATTGAAACCCTGCTTGGTTTTGCCTTTGCCTAGCCATTATGAGCTTGTGGGCTAAATATATGTGGTTGCTAATGACACACTTCACTTTTGTAATTGTTCATTGTTTGGATTACCTATGGTCACTTGTCATCACTTTCCATCGAAAGCTATACTTTTTGCCTGAAAGGTTTTTGTATGGTCACTTTCATGAGCATCTTGGATCAGATTTGACCACATATTGGTTTAGGGTTAACTATGATTGTTATTTTATATAGTCAATTAGCGTCTTCAGCAGACTAGATCATTTTTTCTTTTTCTGTTTGAATTTTGTTTGAATTTGGTGTATGTAGGGTATAATTTTTTTTTTTTTGCTCAAAAAGATATAAATTATATTTTGGCTATATGCTATTACGATCACCACTATTGGTCGTATGTGGTTCTGACTCATGGATTCTCTTTTTTAACCTTTTTTATTAGTCATGTATGTCTTACAACAATTGAAGCTTCTCTCATTGTTTGGGGTTGCAAGGAAAATTCTTGCTAGATTAACTCTATTTCGCTTTCAATCTCGCTTTATATATGTGTATGGAGTCTCGATCTCATTATATCACTCAATTAACAAGCAAATCCACTGGGAAGATATGATTGATTTTCCTTTTTGTATCATCATTTACAAGGGGACTGGGAAAGGGAAAGGGAAAGTGAATGAAAGAAAAATCAAGTTTCTAGCTGAATTTTTTTTTTTTTTTATTTTTTTCATTTGCTTTGGTGATTCCTGTTCTAAATAAAAATGATCGTTTTCTTGAACAGAAATCATCATCATCCATTGCACAGCTTTTTCTTGAACAGAAATCCCCAAATACTGTTCTGTTAGTTTATTTTCAGAAAATGTTCCGCTTACCAAAACTATCATCAGAGCTAAAAGCTGTGCAATGGATGATGATGATGATGATGATACCTCTCTTGTACAAATTTATTCTTTTTTGGCCTTTTTAGCCTCTCAATTAATATTATTATTTTATAAACCATAGTAGCATTTACATTGATTCACTCAAACCTCTGAAAGCAAAGCGTGAAAGGAACATTAAATTTTCAACATGTGGCTTACATTAAAACATAAATTAATTAATTAATCTTCTTTAAAACCAATTGTTTATATATATATATATATATATAACATTAAATTTTCAACATGTGGCTTACATTAAAACATAAATTAATTAATTAATCTTCTTTAAAACCAATTGTTTATATATATATATATATATATATATATTATAATTAATTATTTTGTTCATATTTGAGGGATGCTTTATAATATTCTTAAAGGTAAATGGTAAACGCTTACTTTCAAAATATATAGTCATATAAAAAATAATTTGTGGGAATCCAACTTTCTTGAAATTTTTTAATTTCCTTTTAAACAAATTCCTAATTTTTTTTTAAAATTTTCATTTCTTTTCGTTTCCTACTACTTCTATGATTCAATCTAACCAAATGAACCTAATTATCCTTAAAAGATCTAGAGAAATGCTCAAAAGTGGTGCAAGTTGCAACATGATTCTTATTTGAATGTTTCTGCAATGTTTGCCACTGATATATGTGTGAAATCAGAAATGGGGACCTCAGGTACTCCACTTAGATATATGGGGTTTCATTGGATATCACAATCCTCCTCTTGGCCCATGATTCGATACAAATATGAGGAAAACTAAAAAGCCTTTAAAATTCAAAATAATTTTGCTTAATTCTATTTAGTAGAAAAAAAATTGACTAATAAAGTTGACCTGTGAGAGAAAAATGGGAGTGAAGGTCTCACACAAGTGTTTGATGTGATCACTCGTAGAAGGACACACTCAATCCCCAAGGACTATTAGGGGGAAAAAAAAAAAAAAAAAAAAAAAATTCCCAAGGACCATCAACATTTCTATTCTTTGCATCAAAATATTAGTTTGACTACCCAAAGTTTCTAGTCTAGCCCAATAGTATTATCTCTCATTTTTTAAAGGAGGAGCGAGTGGACATGTAGATATGCTTTTTAATTTCCAATATATATCACTACTTCCGTCTCATTTTTATTGTCCACTTCGTAAACTGTAATTCACATAATTGTGAGTCACCGTGAGTCACAGTTTACGAAGTGGACAACAATAGTGGGATAGAGGGAGTAATAAAAAAGAGAAAAGTTTATGAAACTGACATAAAAATTAATTGTTTAATCGTATAAAGAAAAAGGAAGAAGAAAAAAGCTAACAAGTCTACTTTAATCAGGGGTGGAGCCACTGTGTGCATGCCCTGCTTACTATAAAATTAGTAATTTTAATTTTAATTTATACATTTATAAGAAACTTTTTATATAATGCCCCCTAAAATTTTAAATTTCTAAAATTGTCTTATAAATTTTTCTTTCCTTTTTCTTTTGCTCTTAATATTCCTTTAATTGCCCATGGGTATATTGGTAAATGCAGTTATACCTTCTTCTCTGTTTTGGAGTAACATGCACAGAGAATTGATTTCTACAACCTTTCATATTTATTCAAAAATTGTGAAGTTTTGTAGAAAGGGATAGAAGGATTTTAGACTATTGGTGAGTTTGTAGATCCATTTCAAAACATTGACGAGTGTTTAGAAGTTGGCAGGTTGAAGCAGATTCTAGGGATAGATAGTTTTGTTAAGTGTGAATGTGTAGAGTTCTAGAAATAAGATCTTTAACCACTCATTAAAATGAAAATTTCTATATATAAGCAGAAATCTTATTGGTAAGACAAGGGTGTATAATATGAGAGATGCTACCATATGGGCAGGATCCAACTGTGAGTTCCATAACATGTCAAGTATATCCAACTTGATTTGTTTGCTTTTCTAAGTAAACTATAATACTGTATATTTTGTAGATATCTAGTTGAGGTGTACAAACATGATTGTAAAAAAACTTTTTTTAGTGACCTAAACACCCTTCATAAATCAATAAAATAAAAAATTGTAAATTTGAAAGAGCCAAGTCAATTTTTTTTTTTCAAATTATTAAATTTTATTTACGAACAAGCAAATCTACTAGGAAAAAGATATTTACAGCACCTGATTTGGCACAATTCTTATACTGAAGCTTTAAAATTCAAAATAATATATATTTATATTTTAAATAAAAAATAATATTCCTTAATTCTATGTAGAAGAAGAAAATTTTGACTAATAAACTTTACGTGTGAGAGAAAAATTAGTGTAAATGTTCTGCACAAATTTTATGCCACTTCTCAAGAACAACACATCCTCTTTTTGAAGGATTCTTTCCATCCACTTTATTATTCTTTGTGCTAAATAAAATATTAATTTAATTACCAAAAACCTCAAGTCCAACTGTTGAAACTTGAAAATTGAAAGCTTAGTCTCATTAGGGACATGTTGTGGACAATGAGAGTGTGCTTTACTCTACTTTCGTTTTTTAAGAAAAAATTATTTGATTTCTTAATGAATTTGCAAATAATTTATGGAACTAAAATAAAAATTAAATGTTTCAACTTCGTTGAAAAAAAAAGTAAAAGGAAAAACTAACCTTAAAATTTTATTATTTCTAACATTGGGCCTTAGAGTTCACTTTAATCGTTGTAAGATTGAGGTATGTTTTTCTAATTATGATTGCAAAAAAAAAAAAAAAAAAAAAAAAATCAATAGTTTAAGTATATATTTATTTAATTTTTTTGTTGCATTCAGATGAATTTGGGAGCGCCACATTTTGATTTTTTTAAAAAAAATTTAATTTACCTTCTAGTAATACGTAGTATTTTGACCAGAGCAACTGAAAACCACAATTATTTTAAGAAAATATATTTTATAAAATTCTCAACCAAATGAATTTTATAATATTTCTAAATTTTTTTACTTTTAGTTTTTTAAAAAAAAATTAAAAAACTAAAGTTATTATGTGTTGGTTTCATTGTCAACTTGTACTTAAATTAGTGACATGTCACTTCTCAGTTCTTATCCAAAGCAGTTAATTTAAGATTCAGGGAGTAATACGTGTGTGTATATATTGCTATTGTCAGCATTGGTCTCTCTGCTCTATCCCGTCTCTCGACTCTCTGTCCTACTGTTTAGCTCACTGTTCTCTCAATCAGTTAGAGAGAGAATTTCATACGAACATCACACATTCTGTGTCTATCTGAATCTGAATATCAAGAAATTATATAATCAGTAATCAATCTATATATATATATATATATATATATATATATCTATGGCGAACAGTTTAAGGAAATTTGGGAGGTTGGGTTCGATTTCTAAGAGTAGGAGTAAGATGGTATTCTCAACTTCGTGCTCTGATGAGATTAAGAGCAGCAAAAACAGTGATTTGATGCAACAGAGTGGATTGAAGCAAATGAACCTCTTCTCTGCAATCAATCAAGCGCTTCACATCGCCTTGGAATCTGATTCTCGGTATGTTTATCTTAATCTGTGCAAAACCCAATTCCCCATTTACTTTCCAATTTCTATTTTCATCTCTCTCTATATATAACCTTAAAATTCTATATATACACACGCATATATATATATATATATATAGTTGTTCATCTCTTTTACTCTGTTTCCACAATTAAGATTCAGAATTCCTGAATTTCGATGGCATAATCTAATTGGGTCGATATGCTTTTGCTGGTTGCACGGGGATGATTTATTTATTATAGATTTGTGGTGAATTAGTTGATTTATTATTTGTGAGTGATGTGTGATTACTTATTTATAGAATTGTGGACACAAGCAAGAGGGGGGTTGTGTTCTTTCAAATTAGGGATTGTGTTTTTGTATGCTGTGAAAGTGATTGGTTGTGCTGTTGGTTTCTCTCTTTCTTGATTGATAATGATTTATATTCAAAATGCTGGCTTTGTGGCCGTAGGATACTTAAGAATCCATTGCATGCTATTATATGTAGCATGATTGCTATAACTAGTTAGCTACACTGCATTTCCCGACACATAGGGTATGTTGTCAAATTTGGGCATTCAGCATTTAACTACTTAGTTTATGCTCGGCTGTACACTTGATGGCTCCCCACCTTTCGCTTCTCATTTGGTTCATCCAAAAGAACGTTAAATTGAGTAATTGTGTTGTTGATTTGAATTTGTCAAAGGAATGTCTTTTCAGAAGTTTGTTTTAGAAATCTGCATCCTCTATCCAGTGGCAGGGCAAGGAATTTGGTCCTGTGGACCAACTTTGGACAATAATAAGCTAAATAAAACTTCAAACTAAAGAAGTGTGGCCATGAGGTTGGGTGGTACTCTCTTTTGAAATACTCGGATTTTGGGCTTTGGTGACTGAAATTGAGGGTTAGCTGAGGTGTGATCCTGAACCATATATTATGTTAACAGCAGGAAAATCTTGACCTCCATGATTACTCTAACCAGTATGAATTAAATCAAGAGCGGAAGTGGGGGTCCAAGTGTCAAAGCTGCAAACCTCATATTTATTCAGAATAACGGTATTATGACAGTGCGGTTTTATAGATATATATATAAATAATATTTTCAATCCGCAATAATAATATGTGTAAATGTTTAGGACGTAATTATAAGTTGCAACGAGTTTGATAAAATTTAGAAATTAGAAATAATGATATAATTGAGTGTTAAGTTTGCATCATTTTGGATTCAACCTTCACTTCATGAAGTCATGATTACAGCAAGGGAAGCTGCCTAGTTTACATGGATTATATTACCTATGGTGTTATCCGCGGAATTTGCTGATCGCAATTCAGCCACATGTGCAGCGTGTTCTTTGAGTTCTCCACATGATCTCCAATAATAACTTACCTCGTGGCTAATCCTCTCTACCAGGCCCTAACTGTCAGATGTACCTAATGTAATAGTACACCTATAATTAGGGGTCTCCAGCACAGTACACACAAGAAGCAAGTATACTGTCAGAGCTCTGGTGATCTTTGGGGTTGGAATTCACACCCTTAAGCCTTTAGACTTTAGTCCCTTACTGTCTTCTCTGTCTTCATCTCTCCCTGTAGATTTTGTCTTGCTTCCACCTGACCATTTGTCCTATTCACCATCTACATGTGATACTTCCTCATCAAGAACCAAACCATCTACATTCAGATAAGTATCTGGTATATTATTATGACCTGTGCAGCTGCATATATATCATCTAGTGAACACCTTCAAATAAAATTTGGCCTTTGCAGAACATAATATTAGATAATTGATTCCTTCTTAAACTCATGTAGATACATTTCCTCACAGTGCTTATTTGTTTGGAGAAGATGTGAGCTTTGGTGGGGTTTTCCGTTGCACAACAGGATTAGCTGCTTGTTTTGGTAAAGACAGGGTTTTCAATACCCCTCTTTGTGAACAGGTAACACCATCTCACATGCTACCTTTCATTGATGTACATGTATTAGGTATCCTTAAAACAAAATAATATAAGTTAGTTATGATTTTATTTTATTTTTATTTTTATTTTTTTGGGTGGAAAGCTGATTCGCTAGAATCACATTTACCAAGGTTGACTGTTAAGGAAGATTCTATCATGTACTCTTACTTCAATTTATTGGCGCATAGTGTGCATCTTGTTCACCATTTATCTTTTATGTTCTGTTATTTTTTTCTTCATTTTATTTTATAATTGGTACTTTTTGAGATTAATGTATTTGGTAACTCTCACACTATTATGGCCTCACATGCAGGGCATCATTGGATTTGGAATAGGACTGGCCGCAATGGTAAGTTCCACACTTGATGAATTTATTATTGAAGCTTCCATATCTTCTTTTCTCAATATTTGTCAAATGGTTTGTAACTTATGGGTTTATATCACATGTTAGGGTAATCGAGCAATAGCAGAAATTCAATTTGCGGATTACATTTATCCAGCTTTTGACCAGGCATGTGTCCCCCTTGCTTCTACGTTCTACTGCTCCTCACAGTGTACATTTGTTTGACGGAATTCTTCTATGCAGATCGTCAATGAAGCTGCTAAGTTCAGATATCGAAGTGGTAACCAATTTAATTGTGGAGGTAATTTTACAGACACTTATTAATAAAAAATCATTTCCAATTCAATTTTTTTTTTTTAAATTTAACATAAAGAGGTTTCTGCATGTCCAAGGTTTAACAATAAGAGCACCTTATGGAGCTGTGGGACATGGTGGGCATTATCACTCACAATCCCCTGAAGCATTTTTCTGTCATGTTCCTGGCATTAAGGTATATTCCCTTCTCCGGTAGTTTGCTTTTTTAGGTTCCTTCTGTGACAGCAACACCCCCACAACACTTGCTGGAATGTGCAAGGACTTCTAGGAGCCACTTTCATGCAAAAAGAATGCCGTTAGTTTAAAAACAGAAAATGTTTGACATCCCACATATAGTATTGGGACAATTCAAATTTTGACAAGCTTTTGAGTCAATATTCAAAATACGACAAATACCAAAAATTATTGGGTGAAAAAGCCAGTTAACAAAAATAACTGCCACAACGGTAAATCTAAGTTTTTGGTCCAAAATGCCCTCAGCACCATTTGAAATTAAAGCTCCATCCTTCTTCCTTTCTCTCTCCTCCGTAACCTTGAAAACAGAGCAAACACGGAGATAGAGAAAGATATACGTATAGAGAGGAAAAAGCTTGAGAACAGCATCGGCAACAATGGCAAAAGATTTGAGCGATGAGCAAAAATCATCTATGAAAAAGACGTTCATGCTCTTCAACACCGATGGAAATGGCGAGATTTTGCTGTCGGAGCTGGGCATTCTGATGTGGTCACATGGAGGCAACCTGACCCAATCCCAGCTCAAGTTCATCGTCGCTGAGGAGAACCTGACCTTGCCATTCGATTTCTCTCAATTCCTGTGCTTCATGTCCAAGCACCTCAAGCCGAGCCCTTCCATCGCCAACTTTGCGACGCCTTTAAAGTCTTGGACAAGGACGGGACTGGGTACATCTTCGTTTTGGATCTCAAGCACATTCTCACCAGTATTGGGGTGAAATTGGAGCTGACCGAGTTCGACGAGTGGATCCGGGAGGTGGATGTTGGATCTGATGGGAAGATACGGTAAGAGTAATTCATTGCTAGGATGTCGCCAAATGATGAGAATTGAGTGGGTAAGATTCTATCTCTGTTAGAACATTTTGATAATTGGGTTTGGTTCTGTGATGATTGACTGCGTTTTGAAATTTGTTGATTTTGGATATGTTTGTCATCTGTTACCGACGGTGAGTCACTGGAACGTTTCGCCATTGGCTGGTGGTCAAGGCGTGTGGCGGTGGTGGTGGTTCATGACTGGTTTTTTAGAAAGAGGTAATTGGGGGTATAGGTGAGGGGTAATTTGAACTTAAGTGTATAGGTGCGATTGTCAAATACGAAATTATTTGTGTTAAAGTTGTCAAAATACGAAATTACATTGTGTTCACCCAATACTTTTTAAATATGGTCAACTTTTAAATATAGGGTCCAAAAGTTGTCAAAAATTATATTGTCCCTATAATTTTTTGGAAAAGGATGTCCATGCATTTCTACTGAAACCAAGTTCAAGCAGGAACACGTGTACAAAAATTGATGTGCTACAACACCAGGAGTAATTTGTTATGATACTAATTTCTATGACAAGAGCAACTGTACATATTAGACATCTTCTTATTTTATATGTGCTAGAGCTAATCATCTTAAAGTGAGCATTGATCTTTTTCCAATGCAAATGGCCTTTCTCTTGTCCTGATTTTGCTTTTGGTGACTCCAGACAAGCTTTTTTTAGCCGGTCTTAGACTTCAGCAAGTTCTATCTGGGTTGACTAGGTTTAAAGGCTATTTCATGTGGCACAATGTGCAGCTTTTAGACCTTCTGTGAGGGAGCTAGATTTCTTGCACATCTCCAATTCTTAAGACAAGTTGTGGGGGAACTGAACTTATAGCATTTTCCTATAAAGTATGGAATACATTCTTAATTTCCACTTCTCTCAAGAGTAATTCTTTCAAAGGTGGTCATCCCTCGAAGCCCACGGGAAGCGAAAGGATTGTTATTGTCGTGCATACGTGACCCAAACCCCATTGTATTTTTTGAACCTAAGGTATTTGCATTCTTTTATATTGAATTTTTTGATTTCTTAGCACCAAAATTATAAACTAAAAATTAGAAATTGTTTTGATTGCCTAAATGCAAATTTTCAGTGGCTATACCGCTTGGCGGTAGAAGAGGTTCCCGAGCATGATTACATGTTGCCTTTATCAGAGGCAGAGGTAAACTATTTCTAGTTCTGTTATTGATAAGATTCTAAATCTGAAGATATCTAATAATCCATACACAGGTTATCCGAGAAGGTAGTGACATAACACTTGTTGGGTGGGGAGCTCAGCTATCTATCCTTGAACAGGCCTGCGTTGAGGCTGAAAAGGTAAAATAATCCTTGCAACATAATCTCCAACTTTAAATGTGTCATTAATTGTATCATAACTCTTCAAAAAAGGATAGCTAGTCTGACTTTAAGTTTTGCATTTTATCCATTTTTCACAAATATCACTTTTTTGAAACTAATCCTCAGACAGTGACAATGCTTGATTATCCTTTCTTTCCAACTCCTTGGCACCATTCTTCTGAATTAGAGTTCTTTTTCACCTCTTGATTTCATTGTTCAATATTTCACAAAACTATGTATGGTGTTTTTCGGTCTAAATTCCAAATTCCACATATTCCCCGCATTCACCAAGTCTAGATTCACAAATATGTCACTTGGTGGTCTGCCATATTTATCTTTGTGATTTTGGTTCTTGTTCTTTTTATGTCTTGTATTATTTGAATAGTCAATTGATGCTTGAGATCTGCAGGATGGAATCTCTTGCGAACTGATAGACCTAAAAACTCTTATACCTTGGGACAAGGAAACGGTAGAGACCTCTGTTAGAAAGACCGGAAGGCTTCTTGTAAGTATTATCGATCCATGCACAATATGCATCCTGAAAGAAAAGGTTTGCAATTCTTGGTGATTGGTCTTTCTTATTTGTAGATTAGTCATGAAGCTCCAGTAACTGGTGGATTTGGTGCTGAAATATCTGCTTCCATCGTTGAACGTTGCTTCTTGAGGGTATATACTAAATTTTTTCATAGTTGCATTCTCTTATTCTTTGACTTCATTATTGATTAGTAGTAACTTTCAATTAAATAATGTTTATTTTTGTATATGGGTCCTTTTTTTTTCGCAGCTACAGCTGCTAGAACATTAGATTGTTCTCTCTGTAGGGATCACAATATTTTCAATCAACATATTCACACTCCAGATCATTGAGTTTGTTTGTTCATTGCATAAAAAAATAAAATGATAAGAAAGTATGCATTCCGAAAACAAAGCATAAAAAGGAAAAGAAAAAGTAAGACACTAGATGGGCTTTAAATTATGGTAAAATGAACAAGTCAATTGGCTGAAGACATGGGGTCACCAATAGTTGTTTCTAAAAGGGAGTAGAAGTGATCATCCTAGGTTATCCAGGGGCTCTCTGACTAATAAATGAACAAATGTGGCTGCACTACAGATACATGAGATAAATCTATGTCGCATAGTAGTGTGTGTGTGTGTGTGTTTTTTTTTTCCTTTTTTTCTGAGGAGGACATATTTTCATATATGATCTTGCATATCAAGCATTAAATGCTATGTAACTAATAAAATTTTCGTGAACTTCCAAGTTCACCTATCTCAAAATAATTAGACATATATTTATTATCGCACCACATGTAGGCTGTGAGGAAAATACTGCTAAAAGTTACATTGTCTCCGGTCCTCTAATGCATTATTTCATTTACTTCTTTATTTATTTATTTTTCGGAATTGGAAAATAAAGGAGTATTATGGGTTAACATTGATAGATTTTATTGGTTATGGTCGTTATGATAGTGAAACATATTATCTTCTTCCAATTCGAGTACTTATGTAGTGACAACTAGTCATCCAATAAGAGTCCAGATCAGAAAATCGAGGGATATAACTGAAGAATGCAAGCATCTCTACTAGTTCAAACCAAAAATATGGCCCAGTGAAGTATAAATGATTAACTTTATGTTGACTATGCTGTTAGAAACAGAAAAATTTTATGCCCTTGAGAGGTATAACAAGACTGTTAATTCTGTGGTTAAGAATTGCGGAGGATGAAATCTAAAGGATTGTGGTTAATTAATTGTTTAGTTACTTTCTTAATATCACATGTTACAATGTAGTTTCTTGATAAATCTAAAAAGTGAACTTACCTGGGGTATTCCTTTATCATGATTTGATGGAAGTGTTAGGTGTGGTCATGATGTGGTTTGAGTGGTAAAATATTCAATTTGAACTAGGAACTTCATTGTATTAGATTTGAGCAGGATACTCAATTTAACTTGTTTTTCAACCTTTAAAAAAAATAATTCAAGTGGTCCTATTTCCACACACAATTCAATTTAAGTTGCATTATTCAAATTTAGTCCCTTTCTCTAATTATTGTACCCACTTAATCCTTATCGACATCATTTTAATTTCCATTTCTCTAATCCAATCTCGAAATTTTAATTTTAATTTTCTTGAAAAAATGAATATTTGAATTGCTTTGCAGTTAGAAGCTCCTGTGGCAAGAATTTGTGGGCTGGACACTCCCTTTCCACTTGTTTTTGAACCTTTTTATATGCCCACAAAGAACAAGGTTAGGTGTTCTGATTCTTTTCTAATTGCAGTTTCGTTGATACTAGGCTGTTGCTGTTACTAACATAAACTAAGGTCTACTCTTGTATCATGCAGATATTGGACGCAATCAAGTCAACAGTAAATTATTAGTTCACAAGAAGAGCTGCTTGTGCAAATATGTCTTAAGAAAAATTCTTCTCGCCGAGTCGGGACTGGTGGGAGCTGTGTCTAGTTGGCGTGAGGCCAACTCTGCCAGAAGCAAAACTTTGTTTAATAAGGCTGGTTGGTGATTGTCAAAGTCGTCATTATAATGTAATGTTTAAAATGAGAATACCACAACCTTGTATTTATTTATTTTTCTTTCTGTTTCCCCATCAGACACAATTACAGGTCCCATGAGGATTTGAAGAATGCAAAATCATATTTGAAACCATTTATGCTCATTTTTTAAGTCTCAAAGTGGAGAACGGAGGCTGACATCAATATAATGTCATTAATATTCCTGGCGGCGTTAATATCCTGTATAAATCATGCAGAACTACCAATGCAGTAAAGAAGAAAATTGTTCAGTGAATGTCAATTCATTTTCATGCTTCACCAAAAAGACCATTCCATTTTTATTTGAAACCACCTATGCTCATTTTTGAAGTCTGAGAGTCAAGGCTGACATCATTCAAATGTCATCAATATTCGTGATGTGGTTAATAACCTTAGTATCCTGTATATATCACTGCTGTACAAAACAACTAATGCAGTAAAGAAGAAAAATGTTCAGTGAATGCCAATTCATATCTATGCTTTACCAAAAAGATCAGTCCAATTTTATTTTTTATTTTTTTGGGCCTTTACAAAAGATTAAAAATAGTTATTTTTCATCTCAAATAAAAGAGGCAAATTAACCATCCATCCATAATCGAATGTTTTTCTTATTCATCTCTACAACAAAAAATATTGTAGTTTTGGTACAAAGCAGTAAACTAAGTTACTGGGGTTAACATTCAGGGGAAAATTGTTCTAGTCCTTTTAATATATATCTTAAACTGCCAAGAGCCGACGAGCACTCTCTCCTTTCAACATATTTACAGCTGGTCAGCAGTTACCGCCCCAAGTGAGCACATCAATCCTGCTGCACTTTCCATAAAAATCTGCCACAAATTTTGAAAACAAATGAGATGAGTTAAATTTTGGGGATGACTCGGGTTTCTGTTTAGCAACATGACTTGATATACATGCAACACAATTTTTTACCATTGTTGATTTTTCCTGAACTCTGAAAGCACCGGGTATATGTTTTCAAATGCAAGATACGTTTCATCTCGCACCTGAAAGAATTAGTAATGTGACAGTTTAGATTGGGTAGGGAACCTTAATAGCAAATAAAATCAGACAATGCAGAACAGAATCCAGTAACTGATTTTTCTCATATACACAGAAATCATGTCATTACCTTAGCTCCTGTCAGAACGATTTTCCCGGAAACAAAGATAAGCAGCACAATTTTTGGTTGCTTCATACGATAAATCAATCCAGGGAACAGCTCTGGTTCATACTGTACCAACAAATGTGAATCGTGTGATCAATTCCAGAAAGCACAATTAGAAGTATTGCAACACATTTAACAAAATATTCAAAAGTTGCAAATTTGACATGTTCATTAGCACACAACTCAAAAACAATATATTTTGATCCAGCAAATTCTCTATTCAGTCAAAAATGTTTAAAAAATTTCAAATGAAAAACAAGATATTGTGAATAAACCCTCAACACCCTCTCTTCAGGCTCAGTCTCTCTCTGTTTGGTGGGATTGGTGAATAAGGCCTGATATGAGAATTGGGAGTTCTCAGGCATTACAACAACCAGTATGAACAAACAAAGAGTAACCAAATTTTTGGACCTTGTCATGGTTTGTAAAGAGTTTTTTCGGGTAACGGGTTTATAAAGAGTTGCCAACACACACACACACACACACACTCTCTCTCTCTCTCTCTCAAATTTTGTATCTCTTTCTCTCCACCATGGAGCCACAACAATCATCAGTCATTTAAATGCATTTCCACCCATCTCCATTGCATATGAGTTGCCAATCAAGAGTGAGCATAGCAGAATATGTTGATTCTATTACCACTGGAAATATTTTAGCTACCAAAAAACAGATCATTTTAAACAAAATTAAGGGCCACTTTGCCAATTAAAACTACTGAGACAACACACACAATAACACACATTTCTGTTCCCACTTAGCCTGGTTTAATTCAACTTCCAGCCCATAAGTAGTACCCAATCAATATACCAACACTGTTAGCCGGAATTGATTTGGAACTCAGAGAGTCAACCCAACCACTATTAATAACTAATAAAACATAATAGAAAACCCAAATTGAAAGTAGCATATTATAAGAACCAATAGAACAGATTCAACAGAACTGCATAATCCCCACTTATCCAAAAAAAATTGCATAATACAATTATAATTTTGAGAGCAAAGTTATGTAGTGCATATATTTATATATATGCATATACATAAGAGAGAGAGAGAGAGAGTACGCTAATGTATTCGGCCATCTTGGCGACAGCCTGACTTGATGAGGACTTCGAGGCCGAGACACATGAGTTCTAGAATCAGAACAGCCATGAGACCGGCAACATAGAGAAAGAAAGAAATTAAAGAGATAGAGAGAGAGTTGAAATAGTAAAGTGTTTGGGCATGTAAAGCGAAGTCATTTATGAAAATGTCATTTTTGGACATTTTGCTTCTAGTTTTATGTTTTATAATTAGACGTCGGGGCATATTCAGGGGGGGGGGATTCCACTACAAAATTCATGGACCTTAACCACCCATGACACAAACCCCAGATGCTTTCTATCACACAATGGAACATGAATCCCAAGTCTGTCATTTTACCAAAACCGGCCCTTCTGTTTCCATTCTACGGTCACAAGCCAGACCAACATGTGATGACATCATTATAGACCCTCAGGCTCGGGTTTTATCCATGAGTTAATAATATAGGAAAGAAGTTTCAGTGTTTCTGCTGTTGAGCAACAATTCTCGCCGTGGTCTATTCTAGCAGTTAGCTTGGTCCTTTTGCTGCTCTTGGCAGTGTTGAATCTTTCTATAATGGTTCTTGTTTCTGGTGTAGCCTTCTAAGGCTGTTTATATTGCAAGCTATTTTGGTTAGCCTTTAGGGCTTGTATATTTTGTAGGTTAATCCATATCTTGTACAGTTTCTCCTTTTTCTAAAAAAAAAAAATTCACTACTTTACCGGGGAAAAAATAAAAAATAAAAAATAAAAATAGAGGAAAGAGATTGTCGGAGGCACACTATTCCCTAGAATCACCTCATACAGTAGGGTACTAAATTATGTCCCATGCTTTTTTACATTGCAAAAATTAGTTTATTCCATAAATACACAACAAATGATTGATTTGTAATCTTATTTTGGCTACTCAGAAAACCCTTCACAAATAAAGCATAACATCCTGGGAAATTCAAATAACCATGGATGGTGATTCTACTATTACAAACCCAACACACAAATACCAAATAATTCAAAGTAACTCGTGAATGGTTAATCCACTCTTCTTTTCTTTTTTTCAATTTTTCACGAGTGAATTTTCCTAAATAAACGCCTCCGTTACCCCTCAAAATCCCTGTCTTCTCCCTCCATTGTTTTTTTCTAATATAATTTACCAAACATTAGTCGAAAATTGACATTAAAGCCGGCTTTTAACTTGTAGTAATTTATGGAAAGAATTCTCAATCATGGTGATGGTATTAAAACAGAAAAAATTCACTCCTATATTTCAGTGAAGTGCAAAAACATCTATTTGAATAGAACTCCATTCATAGCAATGGTATTAAAACCGAAAAATTAATAAAAGAAAAAAAAAAAATACAACATCACGACTTACACTAGAAAAAGCGCAATGGGAGTATGCAAGGCCTTCAAGTCTAATGGGAAATTTAACATCACAGGAGCCCACAATGTTCTGGATCTTGAAATCCTAAACCCACCAAAAAAAAAAAAAAAATTTAAATACAATCAGAACAATATAGAACTTTATAATTTGTGAAAGAAACTAACAGCTTACATGATAGATGATGTCTTTTTTCTTTTGGCAGTGAGAGAGAGAGAGAGGAATAAATACCTTAAACTTAGCTGGAAAACCAAGCTTTTGAATAATTCGAGCATACTGAAGAAAAAAGGAAAGAAAGAAAGTAAGAACAGGGAATAGGAAAGAAACTGATCAAAAAATTAATACTGCCTCCCATCTCAAAATTCATACAATAGATTCAGTCACAAAAATGACCATGAGATGACAAGAGGTTCATTGCGGTATCCCAAATTGGTCTCTAGTAAATTAAAGTTGAGTGCCTGAGATTAACAAGGAGAAAATGCTTTCATACAGATATTAAATACCTTTCGTGCTGCCAATTTTGATTGGTGCTCGCTTTTCGCACCCGTACAAACCTGAAGCAGCACCGAAAGACAGAAATAAAGAAGTGTCATTGAAAATAACAGACTAAAGAAAGTCAATAAACATGCTTTCAATCAAAATGAGATGAATCTCCAACATTTCATCAGGTCATGTGAGAGTCATTTTTTTTAATAACTCCAACTCTCTAATAGAAATAATAAGAAATGCCGTGAAGTAAATGCTGCACAGAGGATTAAATAAAAAAAAATGTAATGAAGACTTTTGAGTCATACATTCTACTGCCAAAAGCAAAAACTTTGAGGCACAGGGATGGAGCCAATAGAGGCTTTTTTTTTGTTTTCCCACACACTAATTTTTTGCCTATATATTTGTAAATATTGAGAAATGCCCCCCAGAAATTTCTGTTTTTTGAAAAATTCTCTCTATAAATTTTACCTCTCTCTTTTACTCCTCTTTTTCTAAGGCCTTTAATTCCCTTCAATTATATATATATATATATATTCCTATTCTTCAATCAAATCCTTTTTTTTTTTTTTCTCTCTTTCAAAGTTCTCTCATTTTTATTTTTATTCTTTTCTTCTTCTACTATTGTTTTTGTTCTCTCTTTTTTGTACTTCTTCTTCTTGCACTCATGCATGATGTATGTGCTTTAACTTTTTTTCTATCTTTTTTAATTTTATTACGGCAATTTTATAATGTCTGTATTCTATATCTTTTCAATTTTTCCTCATTGCAGTTTTTTGGGCGAAAAATGGCATAACAATTTTTCGGTTCGTTGTTTACTGTCATGTTAATTGGGAAAAAAAAAAAATACTTTGTTATGTTCATTGTGCCACCCAAAAGCAAATTCCAGGCTCCGTCCCTGATAAGGCAGTGCTTTTATGAAGGGTATCCTAAACCAACACAGGGGATGAAATAAGAAGCAACTGTTAAAGAGAAACTGAAGTTTCTCACTGTGACTTGGGCAGCATGACAAAATTGAGAAGCAGAAC